AAATAATACAAAATGTATCGCATGTATGAGTGGAATCATCCTTACTGGCTTGTAAACAATGGCACAGTGGCTAGTACACGGGGTGAGTGGCTGGGCCCACTCAGGGCGCTGTGTGGACACGTTCGGGACGAAAGCTCCTAACCAAGTTTTTAGGCGTTATCCGAGCCAATTTTTTTACGCCAAAGCAAGGTGTTATCCAATTATGGCGTCAGTCATTCCAGGTGTTATCCGAAGGTCCACTGTATGTACATATATTACTATCCCCTAAGTAGTAGGTTGGTAGACAGCAACCACCCAGGGAAGTACTACCATCCTGCAAAGTGAGTAAAACTAAAACCTGTAATTGTTTTACATGATGGTAGGCTTGCTGGTGCCTTTTTTTCTGTCTCAAACATGCAAGATTTCAGGTATGTCTTGCTACTTCTACAGTGGACCCTCGGATATCGGCCGTTCCTGTTATCGGCCAACTCGGCCATCGGCTGTTTTTTTGGCTCCTGGTGATCGGCAGTTATTTCGATGATCAGCTGTTTCGGATGCGTCCGTCTGCCGGCTGGGGCCGCTTGCGTGTCAGTCTGGCTGTGTTTCTCAGTGTGTAAGGAAGCTTCTGCTCATACATCCAGACATTTTGCTCGTTTTCCATTTTTTTTTTTTTGCAGAGCAACTGCGAAATAAGTAACCATGCTTCAAAGAAAGTTCCTAGTAAAGTTCCTGTGGTAAAGAAAGTGAGAAACACCATGGAATTTAAGGGTGAAGTGGTTGATAAATACGAGAGTGGTATGCGAGTGCTGGAACTTGCCAGGATGTACGGGAAAACAAATCAACATTAACATCCATCCTGGCAAAGAACAAATCAAGGATGCTAAAGTTGCGAAAGGAGTAAGTTTTATAATGAAAAAGGTCACCGATAATGGTACAGATAGAAAAGTTGTTGTTATTGTGGATTAAGGAAAAAGAATTACATGTAGTGGGAGACAGTATTGTAGAATCTATTATTTGTGAGAAGGCAAAGCAGTTACATGAGGATCTTCTACAGGAAACTCCTGGAATAAGTGCTGCTGGTAGTGAATTTAGGGCCAACAAAGGGTGATTTGAGAGATTTAAGAAGTGTAGTGGCATACACAGTGTTGTAAGGCATGAAGAGGCTGCAAGTTCTGACAAAAAAGCAGCTGAAAAGTACGTACAGGAGTTCAAGGACTATGTAAAAGCTGAACAATTAAAACCCCAACAAGTGTTCAATTGTGACAAAACAGGCCTGTTTTGGAAGAAAATCCAAACAGGACCTACATCACACAGGAGGAAAAGGCACAGACAGGACATAAGCCTATGAAAGACAGGCTTACTCTTTTGTTGTGTGCTAATGCTAGTGGGGATTTTAAAGTGAAGCCTTTGCTGGTATATCACTCGGAAAATCCCAGTGTTCAATAACAGCAATGTTGTCAAGAATAGATTGTGTGTGATGTGGAAAGTCAATCAAAAGGCATGGGTCACAAGGCAAATTTTCAGAGTGGGGGTTAATGATGTGTTTGGCTAAAGTGTGAAAAAATACCCCCTGGAAAAGAAATTGCCACTCAAGTGCCTCCTGGTACTGGACAATGCTCCTGCATATCCTCCAGACTTGGAAGACCAAGTGTTTAGGGACTTCAATTTTATAAAAGTTAAGTTTTTGCCTCCTAACACCACTCCTCTCCTCCAGCCCTTGGACCAGCAGGTCATTTCTAACTTAAAAAACTCTACACAAAAGCAGTGTTTGAAAAGTGCTTTGAAGTGACCTCTGACACTCAGTTGACCCTAAAAGAGTTCTGGAAAGATCACTTCACTATCCTCAATTGCATAAGACTTATAGGTAAGGACTTTGAACTCTGCTTGGAGAAAACTGTGGCCAGGTTGTGTCCAAGAGAGGGATTTTGAAGGGTTTGAGACTAACCCTGACCCTGCCGACCCTGTGGACTCTATTGTGGCACTGGGGAAGCCCCTGGGGTTGGGGGTGAGTGGGGAGGATGTGGAAGAGTTGATGGAGGACCACAGGGAAGAGCTAACCACCGAAGAGCTGCAAGAGCTTCAATTCGAACAGCAACAGATTGCAGCTGAGGAACTTGCTTCAGAGGAGGCAGCGGCAGAGGGAGTGAAGATGGTGCCTTCTTCAGAGATTAAAGAGGTGTGTGCAATGTGGACTAAGATGCAAGCTTTTGTAGAGAAATACCACCTTGACCAAGCTGAAACAAGCTATATCTGCAACATGTTTAGTGACAAAACCCTGTCCTACTTCAGGGAAATCTTAAAGAGATGCCAGAAACAGAACACTCTTGACAGTTATTTTGTGCGACAGGGGTTCAGCGACTCTCAAGCTGGTCCTAGTGGCATTAAAAGACAAAGAAGGGAAGTAACCCCAAAGAAGGCTTTGTTACCTAGTCTTTATGGAGGGGGATTCCCCTTCCAAACACTAACTCCTCCCTCTTTCCTCCCTATCTTCCAGAAGCCAGCATTAGCCTCCAATAAAGGTATGTAATACATGTACTTATATAATTGTTAAAATTTTTTTTTGTTTTTTTGTGAATATTTTTGTCTGGAACGGATTAATTGTATTTCCATTAATTCTTAGGGGAAATATTAATTCGGTTTTCAGCCATTTCAGTCTTAGGCCGACCTTCTGGAACAGATTACGGCCAATAACCGAGGGTCCACCGTACTTACATTTAGGTCACACTACACTTGCATGTACAACCATATACAGTGGACCCCCGGTTAACAATATTTTTTCACTCCAGAAGTATGTTCAGGTGCCAGTACTGACCGAATTTGTTCCCATAAGAAATATTGTGAAGTAGATTAGTCCATTTCAGACCCCCAAACATACATATACAAACGCACTTACATAAATACACTTACATAATTGGTCACATTCGGAGGTAATCGTTATGCGGGGGTCCACTGTATATATACACACCCCTCTGGGTTTTCTTCTATTTTTCTTACTAGTTCTTGTTCTTGTTTATTTCCACTTCTCCATGGGGAAGTGGAACAGAATTCTTCCTCCGTAAGTCATGCATGTCGTAAGAGGTGACTAAAATGCCAGGAGCAAGGGGCTAGTAATCCTTTCTCCTGTGTATATTACTAAATGTAAAAGGAGAAACTTTTGTTTTTCCTTTTGGGCCACCCCACCTTGGTGGGATATGGCCAGTATGTTGAAAGAAAGAAGATATTACTATCCATACATTACAGATTAAAAAACCACAATACATCCACATTGGCTATTTTCCACAAGGGAGGGCGATATAAAGATACCACATTCACTATACTCATTCTCTAGCTACCTTGCAAGGGCACAAACATCACGGTACAATAAATAACAAAAAAAGGCACAATACCGTGACTGGAACGATACACAAATAACCCGCACATAAAAGAGAAGCTTACGACGACATTTCGGTCCGACTTGGACCATTGACAAAGTCACACTAACCAGAAGTGGAGCAGGACGGCTATATATAGGCAGGAAGATGTGGTGGTAGTAGTAGTAGTAAGTAGTACAAGAATGGTATAATACCGACAAGATGAAATTAAGACACATGCGCAACACCCGGGCATCCCTATCATAGACGTTTTGCCATCCAGCCAGCCACTGGATGGCAAAACGTCCACAACAAAGACAACCAGACATCCGCACATGTGTCTTAATTTCATCAGTAGTAGTAGTAGTAGTAGTAGAAGAGGTAGTGGTAGAAGTGGGAAATAAGGACGACGAGCCAGTCAAAAACAAAGGAAGGGGAGCACTGCAAGAGAGCTAGGTGCCCACTGAGGGAGAGCAAGCGCACAGAAGTGCGTGAAAGGGGAAGTGGGAAATAAATGAAGGAACAGAAACACGAGACAGAAGAGAGAAAGACAACCCAGAGGAGAAAAGGAAAGAGGAAAAGGGAAGAGGGAGAAGAAGAAAAAGAAAAAGAAAAAAGAAAAAATGAGGAGTCAGGTTAAGTCACGGGTGTTCTGAAGTTTGAAGCATTTTACAATGTAGCGGGAGAGGAAGGCATCTACAGAGACGAAGCCAGGGCTAAGGTTCATACAAGGAAAGTTGTGTATTAGAGAGGATTCAACTAGATGGCGACTGTTCGAGTCGGAAGTAGGGAAGGCAGTTTTAGCAGAAGACCAGTCAATAGGATGGCTATGATCTCTGACGTGACAGAAAAGAGCATTGTTAGTGTCGGCAAGCCTAACACTATTTTTGTGCTCCTGCCTATATATAGCCGTTTCCCGCTCCACTTCTGGTTAGTGTGACTTTGTCAATGGTCCAAGTCGGACTGAAACGTCGTCGTAAGCTTCTCTCTTTTATGTGCGGGTTATATGTGTTTTCACGGTACAATATTGACCCAAAGTGAAACATTCCAATAATGACTTTCAAAAGTACAAGCAATGTCTTTCACAACAAAAATACACGTTATATAATCCTGTATTAAAATTCTATGAAAAATTTTCATATATGCAGTCTTGGGGGGAAATGCTGATGCGATTAAAAAATATTAATAAAAACTGTAGTATAGCAAAGCAATTCTTCTTCTTCGGGTCAGGCTGCCTTGGTGGGAAATGGCCAGTGTGTTAGTTCTGCAGATGGGAAGAACGCTGTTTATATTCTGAAGGATGGGTGAGGATGGTGAGCGACTGACTGGTCATTTTAACTGATGCCCGTGTACTTCTCACAAGACAGCATTTCCTTCTCTGGATCGCCATACCTTGGTGAAAAAACTGCTAATCAAGAATTCTAAGAGATGTAGCTTTGCCAGGTGCAGCAGCACTACTCAGGGATAAAGTCAGAGAGAAACTTCTGAAAGGCTTAGGTACCCGAGACTGTCATATATGAACTGCCCTTGAATGATCAACATTCAGGAGTAGAAATAAAATGAAAGTTCAGATGAACTGATGGACAGATGAAAGGATACATGACCCTGTAGGATGGATGGTTTAACAGATGAATGGAAAGATATGCAATGTCTGTGGAAAAATTTACTTACCATCAGTATCTTTAAATTTCAAGATATTGGCAGTAATTTCAATAAGGAATGAATCGAGTTCCCCTTGATTCCATTTCGTGAACACCTGAAATAACAAATGCTTCAAATTAACAACAATCATAATCCAGACAATATGTTGGCAATTACTGTGGTTACTGGAGCAGAACTATGCTCACAGTGCCCCATATTTAATACAAGACATCAAGCTTATTTTATTATAAAGTACTGTCTATAAAATAGTTACTATTTGCCCATAGATATATAATTTCTTTTCCTAGAAAAAACCATGAAGCTGCTGTATTTACTCCTGCTTTAACCCTTTGAGGGTTTCAGACGTACTAGTACGGCTTACGACCCAGAGTTTTTGACGTACTAGTACGCCTAAATTCTAGCGCCCTCAAATCTAGTGGGAGAAAGCTGGTAGGCCTCCATATGAAAGAATGGGTCTATGTGGTCAGTGTGCACGGTATAAAAAAAATCCTGCAGCACACAGTGCATAATGAGAAAAAAAAACTGACCCTTTTTTGGAATAAAACAGCGACTTTGCACTGTATTTTTGTATGGTATTTATTGTTGTATTCTAGTTTTCTTGGTCTCATTTTATAGAATGGAAGGCATATCATAGAAATTGAGATGATTTTGACTGGTTTTACAATGAAAAGTACCTTGAAATTGAGCTCAAAGTAGCAGAAATGTTCGATTTTTACCAAAGTACAAAAGTAAACAAATCATGCCAAGCGTCCAACTGGTGAGTCTAATATTCTTTTGCAAGTGCGCCAATATGATTCATACCATTTTTTACACTAATGCAGTAGTCTGCATAACAGTAAATCTTCTATTATTGTGAGAATAAAAATTCAAAGTGGAAAGCAAAAGAATGTAAGAGGGACCTTGAGACGTGACTAATGAACAGAGGAAATGTCATTTTAGTGCCAGGAATGTATTTCTTGTTTGTTCTGGACCCTTTTCGGAAATTGGCATCTTTGAAATTTGTGTGAAATTGGCAAAATTGCTAAATTCTGACCACTGAACTGGATAGTTGAAATTGGTAAATGGGTGGTTTCTTGCACTCATTCAATAGAAAATATGGAGTTCTAGCGAAATATTCATGTTTTTTGTCGACTAGTACAGTGGAACTGGCTGAAAATGGGGCTCAAAGTGGGCAAAATCGCCGATCCGTAAACATCGCCGAGACCGCTAACTTTGCGAGAGCATAATTCCGTAAGTTTTCCATCAAATTTCATATTTTTGGTGTCATTATGATCGGGAAAAGATTCTCTATCTTTTCATAAAAAATTATTTATTTTTTTTTTTTTTAAATTTGGCCGACCCTGAGAATGAGTCTCGGAGAGGGCCTGTCGACCCTCAAAGGGTTAAATATCTATATTCTGTGATTTAAAGTTCTGTCTCGGATTTCCACATTTCCCAATAACTGGCATGATAACTTATCATACCTATTGCAAATCTTTTTTTCTATCATGTAATTTCTTTTTCTTCTAATATTTACACAATGATTTTTTTGTATTCACCTGCAAAAAGTATGCAGAGTAACACAAAAATGAAAGAAAAGGCTAAGTCATGAATATTACCTCACTCATTTCATCACAATCCATGCCAAGACCAGTTTTCATGAGATGGTAAGCTTCACAGATGAGCTGCATGTCTCCATATTCAATACCATTGTGAACCATTTTCACATAATGCCCAGCTCCATCTTCACCAACCCAATCACAACATGGTTCACTGTCTGACTTAGCACAGATGCTCTGCAACATAAAAGTTTATAGAGTACAGCATGTAGAAAACATTATAACAAACTGTGCAGTCAGATCATATTTCTTTTAGTACAAAACTGCAGATATAGCTCAGTTTTACAAAGGAGGCAGCAGTGATGGCAGGGAAGTCACACTAACATTGTACATAATAAAAATCTTTGAGAGGATACTATGAAAGCAAATTACCATCTTTATGTAAACCCACAAACTTAACAATCCAGGCCACTTAGACTCTAGTAGAGACCTACTTTTCACAATCAAATCACAGAAGGCATTAGAAAGAAAAAATTGTAAACAATTTATGTATGCATGGATTTTTAAAAGCATCTGAGAAATGTGGCCATGAAATTTAACAAATAAGTTGGAGGGTGTATAAATCTGTAGTGGAGGGGGAGGGGTTGTTCTAGGTAAGGAGGGAGGGATGGGGTAAAAGAGGATTTGTGTGCAAGAGGCTTGGACATGCAGCAGGCATGTTTGAGTGTGTTAGATAGAATGGAGATGAAAGGTTTTGGGGACCAAACTGTTGGAGTGTGAGTAGGATAATACGTATTTGGAAAGGGATTCAGGGAAACCGGTCAGCCCGACTTAAAGAGTTCTGGAGGTGGGAAGTACAATGCCTGCACGAATATCCCTACTGAATAAAATTGGCAAATTTGTACCTATGCCACCCAACAGCAGAACAAGCCTTGTGTTCAGGAAACTAGACCAGTGGTGAAAATTTGAAG